CGAAGCTTCTAAAAGGATAGTGTTTTGCTACGGTTTTTAAATTTTAATCCAGAAAAGCCATCAAACGATCTTTCTTTAGAATAGGCAATTACTAACATTTTTCTACTTTTAATGAAATGAAATATGTAGAGATCAAGCTACAAAACTTTAACAAACTTTCATTCTACTTTCGTTGCACTCCGGCCGACTTAACGCTAATACTTTGACAACAAATAAAATTTGGGGAAATAAACGAACAACAATTTATTACAAAACAAAAATGGAGAGAAGTATAAACCGAACAACCTTACAAATACTTAGCTTTAAGTATTATTAAAATAAATGACAGGCTTAAAAACTGTCAACGACCAAACAACCTTTCAAAAAAGAAGAACGTTCTAACTTACGACAATTCGACCCCGAAGGCCTTTTAAATTCAACAAGTTCTTCAAGTAAAATCTTCTACTCTCCTTCTAAATTTTCTAGTTGCACTATCATTTATAGGCTTCGTAGAACCGTCTGATGTATTTAAAACTAAATATATGCTAACCAATTGCTCTTAAGATCCGTTTTAGAAAACTACTTTGCATCATTTAAGAAAACAAAAATCACTCATAGTTCAGACACATGTTACCCTACGATTCCATTACAAAACACTATAAAACTAACAAGCTAACTATAAAAATGCATCAAACTTCACTTCTAACTTAATTTCTATCATTAATACACTATAAAAGTCTAAAAATCAACCTTTAAACATCAAGATTTAGTCATAAAAACAACAGTTTAACTACTTAACAATCAACACAACCTCTACCAATTTCCATCTTATTTTCTATTTTCCTCACTAAATTCTCCTAATGTGACTTCGCAGTCACGTCATAAAATTCCAAAGTTTTAAATTCATAACAAAAAGTCCAAATTTCAAAAATCAACTCTTACGATATTTTTCATGAACAAAAATCCCCCAAAATTAAATTAAAACAGAAAAATTATATCAGACAAAAATTAAATTAAAACAGAAAAATTATATCGGACATAAATCTGACCGGTTCCGGAATCCGAATCCGAAAAATTCGGTTTTTATAAAGATCACAGTAATCGCTTATCGAAAAAATTTATATGACTATTACGACTACTTTTCTGACATTAGTATCGCTGAGTATTCGCGAGTATTGACAGTTGATGTTTTAGCGTCAGATTGTACGGTGACTGTATGATTATAGACTACATTACAGTACTTTATCGTCATGTTATAAATCCCCTTTCTCTAAGGATAGGGTATTACTACTAAGTCAAATTCCTTTACAATTTGAATATACGATCAAACGCCCTTTCTTTAGATTAGGCAATTGCTCTCGGGCTATTTCTATAGTAATCTATATAATGCCTTGTAAAATAATGAAGAAGAAAAGATGGCGACATGATGATTTGGCAGGGTAAAACTTAAAAACACTATCACTTTCTAGGTATTTTCTATAGTAAAATAGTACTAGTTACATACCAAAAAGCTATAAAGTACTCTACTTTTAGTCCTTTACTACATACTTATCTACGTATTTAAGATACAAAATTTGTTCATTATAGTGTAGTTCATACAAAACATATTAAATATTAGAATATATACCATCTCAAAATCTTATACCACATTACTGAATATAACACGATCAACTTTTCAATAATGAACTATTAAAAAACTTTTCTGTAGTAATCGATACGAAAACTTGTGAGAAACGATAGCGATATGTCGTTCTGACAAGGTGAAATAAGGATTAGCATCATATCCTATATTATATGTCGTAATCGTGTTCTAACTATATCCATTATAAAGACAATGAAAGACTCTATTTATAGTCCACAAATTACGGTAGATTTTCAATTTATAAGTTTGACAATCATGCAGACCAATGGTATATTAGAATGCACGGGTAATTGCAACTATAGAA